GGGAGCCTGCTTCTCCCTCTCCCACTCCCCCTGCTGTGTTCCCTCTCTCGTTGTGTCTCTTTGTCAAATAAATAAAATCTTAAAAAAAAAAAAAAAAAGGTAGTCAGGGGGGTGCCTGGGTGGCTCATTTGGTTAAGCGCCTGCCTTTGGCTCAGGTCATGATCCCAGGGTCCTGGGACCGAGCCCCACATCGGGCTCCTGCTTTGCGGGAAGCCTGCTTCTCCCTCTCCCACTCCCCCTGTTTGTGTTCCCTCTCTCGCTGAGTCTCTCTCTGTCAAATAAATAAAATCTTAAAAAAAAAAGCTGTTTACATTTTTAATATAAAAGTTTAATAAAAAACGTGAAAAAGAAGAAGAGAGTGTCCATAATTATGCAACCTTGACTATCAGAATTCTGGGGTTTTATTTCAGGTACTTTTTCCATCTCTACGAATAATATTCCTTCTTTCCCAGGGTTGCATATATACAACCTGTATACAAACTGTATGTACAGTTGAGTACCAGGACATTTTACCTGACATTGCCGCAAGTTTTTCAGGGTTAAAGGTTTCTCTCCAGAAATCTTTATTTCTAAAGTCACCCTAATGTCACAGACTAGTTGTACTGTTGCTTATATGTTAACTCTTCCCCTATAGCTTGAAGATAGTTTGTTTCCAGATTTTGTTGTTAAAAATACCACTGTATCAAAGTAGTACAACCCTAAAAAATTTTTTTAAGATCCTGGAAACACTATGATTTTGTTACCTCAGTTGTTTTGCTTTATGTAAGTGACCCGGATGTGCACGGTGCTGGGATACCAGAATGAAGAAGATACAGACTCTGTATTCAGAAGACTGTAGTGGAGGCAGGATAGGGTGGAGACAGATGCTTATACAGCATATTTTAGTTCACCTTGAGAAATACAATAACAGAAGTAAGCACCAAGTTCTGTGAACCAATGCATTAAAATCATGTGCATGGTATCCAGCACAGAGTAGGAAACGCTCAATAATGAAATGACAACCATGATGATGATTGCAGCCATCACATGGCTGATAGAATCTTTTAAATACTGGTTTCCATGATTCACACTTACAGAAAAAATAAATAAAAGCAAGACAGCACCAAAAAATGCTCCTTGAATTATGAAAATCAATGATAACCAATATATATGCTTAGCCTATGCTGGCAAGTATCGAAGATTATCAAATTCTTTCTAATTCCTAAAACAAAGTTCCTCATGGAACAAAAGCTCTTTCCATAGTAATGTTCTAATGCCATGATGTCATCCTAGCTTGAATGCGGTCACACGGAATGACTTTATTCTTCTGAACATGACATGGGTCAGACAGAGCTATTTTCAGAGAAGAGGTCAATTTAGTTATACTTTTATTTCTTCAATATATAAATTATATATATTATACATAACATATATGTTATATATATATTACACATAATATATATAAAATAAAACTAGTGAATCAAGGCAGATCTGAGAACTCTAAAATTTTCCATAGGTAGAATCTTATTTTGCATTTAATTCCTGATTTGCCTCGTTTCCTTTAGCAGCCACGTCTGCAGACCTGAACGATGGTTAATGTTTAAAAAGGTACAGCGTGTTCTGGTTCACAACCTTGCTCATTTCCTCTTTCTGATGGCGCCCTTGTGATTGCAGGACTCAAGTAAGGCTTTCATGACACGAGAATACATGAGAAATGATGCTTGAGTCATAGTAAATGTGAGATTAAGGTTGCTTGCTGATAAAGAACGCGTAGCCTTAAGGAAAAACTTGAGTCGGCTTGGACCTCTCTGGAGATAGTTTACTGTAGGCAGGGAAGCCATCCACAGCCACCACTGAAATATGCGTAAGGATTTTGGGCAGGAAACGAAGGAAATGCTGCATTAAACTGAAGGCACAGTGGGATTTAAATAATCCAAATATAGACTCTGGTGAGAATCGGATCAGGGCACTGCTTGGTAGTGGCTACCCTCTCCTCTGCGGCAGCAGAAAGAATTACACGGTCTGCCCATCAAATCCAGAATACAAAGTGCTCTCAAGTCCTCCAACTACCCTCCTCCTTCGTGTATTGATCCTCTTCTCATTAATGCCCTGGACCCTGTTCCCTGAGAGTGGCACAGTGCAGCTATTGACAGTACCCATAAATGCTCCGCTCTATCTTCTTCTCACCAATCCAATTAGTTCCACACCCTTAAAATTTTACTCAACGCTCAACTCCTCTGAGAAGCGTCCCCTGATTACCCTGTCCTTCTTCCTTGTCATTGCAAACCCTTAGCCATTGTTTGCCCATTGATTGGCGCTCTTACTGCTGGGTATTTCCTACGCTCAGCAGGAGGCTCAGTCCCACGGGCTCCGTGGTGAGTAAGTCCCCAGACACTGTCCTCATGGAGGTCACAGTCCACACACAAAAGATAGCCTAATAGAAGGCGCTAAGGGCAAGGATGGAGATAGACAGGTGGAAGCACAAAGACTGTCATCTTCTGGGGTGTCAGGAGGCTTCCTGGAAAAGCTCAGATAAGTGGGAGTTACGCAGGTAAAGGGAGGTGGGGAGAGGCACGCCGATTTGTACAAGAGGTGGTGCAGGTCAGAGACAGATACGACGGGCCCCTTGGCCCCCCCGCTTCCCCCCCCCCCCCCCCGTGCTTGGTTTATCAGGAATCTTCTACCTGCTGATAAGAAGGTCTCTGAATGTGGGTTCTTTTCGTGCAATTGAATTATAAGCTCTTCTAGGGACCACAGTTTCTACTTATTTTGCTTCCTTCCCCACAGGTCTGCTATTGTCCCTAGTGTTTGCTAAAGCACTAAAGAGTGTTTCCAGAGAGTGTGTTCCACCATCTTGGGCTACACTGCTGACTCACTAGTCAGCCCCCGCGCGCTCTGTCCACCAGCACTAGCAAGACCGTGTGGCCGTAGACAGATGCAGCGTGCTCTCCGCTGCAACCCGAGACCCAGGCAGACATGCATGCCTTTGACTCAAAGCACGTACGTGCTGCTTCCATGGAGGAACCATCCAAAGCACTTTCCAGGAAAGTTCCACAGTCCTCATTAAATACCAGCTTTCTGCTATTTCATATTCTTAGCCTTTGTGATGATAATTTGCCTTTTATATTCAAAATCCCTGCCCCAATAATTCCATCAGGGTTTCATTGGATAATAATAATAAAAAAAAAAATCCACTGAGCAATATGGAATAGAAGTTTTAATCATCATCCTACAGAAACAAAGTCATCATTTTTTCAAAGTAGGATCTTAAAAGCACCCTTTTTGTTGATGTGATTGCTAGCTACCTCAAACATCGCAAATGTTGGGTGGTCACTGTTGTCTCTTGATCCATTTGATTTTATTTAAAGTTAGAAATACTTCGTGGGCACATAGGCCAATATCTTACAAACCTGTGAGAGCTTTGTGGAGTCCCCCTGCTTCCCAGCGGGCAGGTTGGATGCCTCAGAGGGAGGCTGAGGCACGAGCTGTGGGTATTGCTTCTGGCCTCCCGTTTGACCTCTAGGTAAAAAGACCTCCCCATTCCAAGACTGCAAAATTGCCATTGTTCATGGATGGTTAAATCCTAACCCCTTTTCCCACTGCCTGGGGTCAAGGGTGGAGGAGGGAGGAGAGTTAGAATAGCAACAACAGGGCAAACTCATTAAAAAAAAAAAAAAAAAAAAATGGAGAGAGTGGGAGAAAGCACCAAACAAGTTTTACAGGCTTTGCCACTCCAAAGCTGTCATTTCAAGGTTATGGCTTTAGAATGACAGAGGAGGCATCTTTCCACCTGAGCACTCTGGTGGAAACAGCCAGAAGCTAGCTTGCCTCTGGAAAGAAGAAAGAAAAATCCTGGAGCTTGGAGCCAGGTGGGGGAATTTTGGCCACGGAAACCAGAGCTTTCAGAATGACCACATGATGCTTGGAGACCTTTGTTTCTGATGGCTCCCTAGCAAGGTCATACGTAGTATGGAAATCAAACTAATGGACTGTTTTAAGTTCCCCAGCCGGACTTTGCAAACCCAGGTGATCTTCCAACAGGCAGACACTTCACGAATGAGATGGTGAAATAAATAAAGCCAGGTGCTCACCCAAGGCCTGCATCATGAGGGGGAGAAAGGCAGAGAAAGACGTTTCCTTATCTAGTTAAACTTCCCCGTTCCCAGGTCAAGTAATTCCTATCAAATACATTAGACCTTGTACGTGAACACTCAGGGAAAGCCAATAATGCTTTCTGGTTGGCTTTTGCTCTCAGCCTCAGTGTCCTGATCAGTACTTTAGAGAGGTTAACACCTAACTCAGCGAGATAGTTACCAAGACTACACGAGGTAAGCTTTTCAAGTCCTCCCACAGTAGGCTTCTTCCTTTTCTCCCACCTTTCTGACTCCTACTGTTCTTACCGTCTTGGCAGTTGATTACATAACAAACTCAGGGCACCTGCTGGCTCACATTTTCACTCCTGGAACGGTCTGAAAACTCAGTGAGGACAGGAACCACGTGGGATACGCTTCCCCCTGAGGTGATCCCTCTGACAGAGTAGAGAGACGTAGGTGCTGGTCGCCATGTGTTTCTGTACCTGCGATGACCTGCTTCATGCTTGTGTGACTTTTCCTCCTTCTCAATAACATAGCAAGGGTGGTGGTGATGAGGAGAGCCAAGGCAAGAGAAATGTAGATAAAATTAAATTTCCTTACAACCTGCAGGCCATTGATGAATACCAGAGACCAGCAGAGCAGGACATTCCTCAAGGGGCTCATAACCGCCTTAATGTTAATGCTTTGCTAGAGACTAAAGCAACCTTAGCTCCACAATAGCCAGACAAACAGGATCCTCTAAGTCTTCTTGAACGTAGGGGAATCCCTTTAGAGATTTCCCCCAAATATATAATCAGTCAGTCCTCACAATCACAGCACAGCTCTTTCTGCCCACGGGTCCTGCCCCCTGCCATAATAAAAACACCATTTTGCACCAAAAAAGTCCCATCTTTTTTTTTTTAAAGATTTTATTTATTTATTTGACAGAGACAGAGCACACAAGCAGGGGAGGCGGCTGGCAGAAGAAGAAGCAGACTCCGCACTGAGCGGGGAGCCCGACGCAGGGCTCGATCCCAGCACCCTGGGACCATGACCTGAGCCGAAGGCAGACGCTTAACGACTGAGCCACCCAGGCGCCCCTAGCCAAAAGGGCAGTTTACAGAAAGCTTCACAGCTTTGCTCTTGAATCTTTTGAGAAAGACCAGCACTCTTGCCACTGCTATATTGAAGCTGACAAGCACCGGGCAGGGACTGTCTGGGAGACGTGGGCTTCTACAGACTGATGCCTCCTAGAGACAGGTACAGAAGGACATTTGAAAGTGCCACGTCTTTCATTTCACAGGTGAGTAAGCTGAAGCCGGAGACCTTGTTTTGCCCAAGATTATAGGCTCGTTGGAGATTGAGCTAGATAAAAGAAAACCCATGGCCAATAGTTTCCAGCTCCATTCATTTTATTCAGAAAAGGTTGATTAAATGTCTACCATGTGCTTAATATGTTGGGGGTACAGCCGAACATGACACGATCCTTCTCTTCAGGGAGCATCAGTCTAAGGGGGATGAGGAACAAGAAAAACAGCCGGTCATACAACAATGGAGTAATGGAAGTAAAGGGTACTAGGAAAGCCAGGCAAGAAGAGTGAGGCACTCAGTTGCGGATCAAAATCAAAAGGACACCAAAATGTCAGTAACCGAGATGAGGAATATTTTCGTGCTAAAGACGGTATCATTATGACTAACTTTTCCCTTTGGTTCAGACTCTAGTATGGCTCAGCAAGGCACTCTTGCAGCTTCTCTCTTTATTTAACGTGTTAATATTTTGTTAACTGTGGATTTTTTTGCATTCATTTTGGTTGTTTAAAATATTACATTAAAATAATCTTTATGTCGATGGCTGAGTTCTTCTGGTGCCCCCCTCTAAAATTTTGCACCTTGGGCAAGAGCCTCACTCTAGCCTCCAGGGGAATCTAGCAGAGCCAGAGTGGGGATGGGAGGAAAGGGAGGGTCCTTTCTGGGAGTTCCAGCAGAGGTCTAAGGTTTTCAGATTCTGCTTCCTTGAGACCTACGGATTCAAAAAGAGCCCCATCGGGGGAGATGTAGGACATTTTCAGCCAGAGCAGCTCAGCCTTGACCTGTTTTGTTTGCTAACATTTTGTGTAAGGGCTTGTCAAATTCCTAATTTGGTAGACAAGGATCTTCAGGTCTAAAAAAAGTTCTTACAGCAAGGGGAAAAGATTAGGTTCAAATACAGAAGACCCATCACATCCATCACAGGGCCCGAGTTCGGGGTTGAAGGATGGAGGATACAGGAGAAGCAGGCAAGGCCTCCAGTCCCCAGCGAGAGAAGGAACACATGGAGCCTACCAAATGCTGACTGACCTGCTAGAGATGACAGGTTTCAGAGTTCAGCTCTTAGCTCTCCACCCAACTCTCCTACAGCACCCTGTTAGCAGACTCATTTGACAGACGTGTCTGGTCATTTAACTGGACTGTGTAGTTTGCATCCCCTTATCTGTCCACCGAAGAAAGGGTCTAAAAGGAGAGTTTTTAAAAATTGGCTATCATAATAGAAAATCTGCTTTCCTTAGACAAATGCTGAATAGATGATGATTGGGCCAGGGGGCAGAGCCAGAGAAAGAAAACATCTTAGAAATGATTCCTAAAACTGAATTAAGTGTAATCCAGCCAGATTTGGGGGGGGGGCACCACATTGCCCAACTCCAAGGGGCGACCTCTCAGTGTTGCCCGTGTAAATGGAACCCTCTGGAGTCATATGACGCACAATCGTTGACTACACAGCTATGGTTTATGACGGTTGCCTAAATACCCACGAGGAAATAATAGCTTGTGTCCATATTTGGCTAATTCATGCATCCTAACCCATGCATCCTAATTCAAACTATTAGGCTCTTTCAGTTTTTAGCAAGCTAGATTCTCAAATTCTGAAATTTTTCTCTAGCAAGACTTCAATTTTCATTCTCTTGGATCCCTGTAATTATTAGGGATGAAGGAAGTGTGTGTGTGTTATAGTGACAAACGATTAAGGTGACAGGGGAATCCGGGAAGCCACTGAAAGTCGTCAGCTAAGAAAGATTTCAAGATCAGGGTCAAACTTATTATATTGGTTGGATTATATATACAACAAATCTGATAAGATCGAGTTTTCGAGGAGAAGATATCAAAAGGGACCCTCATAAATTCCCAGCAAGCTTGGTATTTCTTAAAGGCTATATGGGGCTATGTGTTTAAAATCTAAATTATATGCATACAAATAATTTTAAAGCAGGTTTTAAAACTATGTCTACAGTGACCCCACCAAAAATACATATGACTACAGGAGAAAGAATGGTGAGTTTATATGCATTTAAATGATGGTTCTCTGGATAGTGTGGTTATGGGTGATTTTCCCCTCCCCAGCTTTATTGAGATATACTTGATCTAAAGCATTGTATAAATTTAAGGGGTGCAACGTGTTGATTTGCAAAATTATATATATCAAAGTGATTACCAGTAGAACTTGAACTAACACCATCATGTTACATAATTACCATTTCTTTTGGGGAGTGAGAACGTTCAAGATCTATTCTCTTCGCAACTTTCAAGTATATACCACAGTATTATTAGCTATAATCACCATGCTGCACCTCAAATCCCCAGAACTTATAACTGGAAGCTTGTGCCCTTTGACCAACATCTCCCCATTCCCCCCACCCACTAGCCCCTGGTAACTACCCTCTAGCCCCTCTTCTATCAACATTTTTATTTTTAAATTATTATTATTTTTAAAGATGTTATTTATTTGAGAAAGAGAGAGAGCATGAGCAGAGGGAGGGGGCAGAGGCAGAGGGAGAAGCAGGCTCCCCGCTGAGCCAGGAGTATGATGTGGGGTTCGATCCCAGGACCCTGAAATCATGACCTGAGCAGAAGGCAGCCACTTAATCGACTGAGCCATCCAGGAGCCCCTCTATCAGCATTTTTAGATTCCACTTATAAGTGATCTCATACAGTATCTTTCTCTGTCTGACTTATCTCACTTAGCATAATGCCATCAAGATCTATCCCTGCTGTAAAAAATGGGACTGATTATGTGAGATTTCAAAGGTCTTTTCAAGAAGTTTGCTCTACTCTCAGATGGAAAGCCATCGTCTGATTTTGAGCAGAAGGCTTCTAGAACCTGGCACATTCTTCAGTGGTATCACTCTGGTGGTGCAGGGGATCAAGGGCACAAAGAAGACCAGCTGTGAGGCTATTTCAATAATTCAGGCAAAACATTCTGGGGGCTCAGAGCAGAGAGATGGTGACCGTGGTGAGGGACTAGAATTATTCTGACAGTGTGCCTGACGGAACTTGCTGCAGGTTTGGATGGGTACTCTGAGAGATAAAGAGAGATGAAGGAAGGCTCCGAGGTTTCTGGCCTAGTTGGAGTTGCCACTGACTGAGATAGGTGGAGCAGATCGGGAGGAAGACTGGGGGTTCAGTTTTGGACATGTTGTATTTGTAATGTCAAGGGGCAGTGGGATTTGGAGTTCAGGGGTCAGACAGGAGAAGGAGCCCGGGACTGGAGTTACATTTGTCTATGAGTTAGCAGTGGTGAAACAGGACCCATTGACCTTGTATGGGTGACGTGCTCATGGGCTCAGCAGTCCACACCCACTCAGATCTGGGGTCTCTTAGCCCCGGGTCCCTCCACTCCACGGACGACCCTTCCTGCCTGGTCTCACTCAAATGTTACCTATACACTCCTCCTGTGAGTATGTCAGGAAGAGGACCCCAGGTAAGATGCTTTTCTGGTAGGATGCTGGTTGACCCGGAGAGCCACAGCTAGGGAGCAGTCCAAAGCCATGAGTGCTCCTGCCTGCCTGCTAGCTAGCTAAAATATGTGCATCTGTTGGCTTTGGCTTTGTGCTTTAAGTAAACTCTATGCCCAGCATGGGGCTTAAACTCACAACCCTGAGATCAAGAGTCACCTGCTCTACTGACTGAGCCCGCCAGGTGCCCCTGTGTGCATATGTTTGACCTATTTGTTCTGAGACTTGCTCGGATCATGACCCACCAACTGGTTGGGCTCAAATAATGCTGACTGGCCAGTTCGAAGAAACTGCACTACCAGGAAGAACCTCATAATCTCTGTTGATCAGGTTGATTGGGGCCATTTGCTACAAATAAAAATAATCATCTTATTTGATATATATAATAGATATTTTCTCAGTAGTACATAAGGTGGATATAAAAGCATAGAGAACTTTACCACTTTTTGGACCTATTGTACATATTTTACGTTTTAAAAGTGAGCTGCCTATGACCTAGGTTTAAGACAACCCACAGCCACCCATTTTAACCAGACTGCTGCCCAGGACCCCTGTTCTGCGGGGACTCTGGCACTGCCCCCCGCCCCCACGGGGCTTCTGAGGACTCTTCAGAGGCCATCTGCCTTGTCTCCACAATGCGCCACTTCTCTTTGAAACAGCTGTTCCAGAATTCAGATTTCCAGCCCCAAGTTGGCATTTCTCTGATCCATTTGTAACCTATGCACTATTCATGTTTGGATTATATTGGATAAGTTTGGAGGTTAAAATTGATTCATGCAAATGGATGACTGAGTCAGCAATAAAAACATGACCTAGAATAATCTCATGGTTTGATATGGCAAAAACATGTCTTATAATCTGTTTAACAGCAAATTTGATACTTCCTGAATGTGTCAGGCAGAACACACCTTTTCTTTTTTTTTAAGATTTTATTTATTTGAGAGAGAGAGAATGAGAGACAGAGAGTACGAGAGGGAAGAGGGTCAGAGGGAGAAGCAGAACCCCCGCTGAGCGGGGCCTGATGTGGGACTCGATCCCGGGACTCCAGGATCATGATCTGAGCTGAAGGCAGTCGCTCAACCAACTGAGCCACCCAGGCGCCCCCACAACACACCCTTTTTTGTTAGCAGGGAGAAAAAGGAAAACCGTATTTTTCTTCTCGTTCACAATCAAGGAAATTACTAAATGAGAAAATCTGGTTGTCCTCAGTAGCACACTTTCTTAGGCTTTTCTTTTCAGCCTGGATTCTTTTTTCATCTTCTCATGCAGGGGTTGGAGCAAAGGTACCTCTCATGCCTGCAATGGTTGCAATAACCTCGTTTCTTATTATAAGTATACCTGCCTGATTCTGACCAGGGATCAAAATGAGCATTGTCAAAAACGGGACAGGTTGACGTTATGTGCCCTTCGGTATGACACGCACAGAGGAAGAGCACCACTTCCGTGATATTCCTGGCAAAATGCATATACTATCATAAAGAAACCCATCATTCTAACCCAAACTGAGGGAGATTCTACAAAAAAAAAAAAAAAAAAAAAAAGGTGTGAATTCTTCAAGAACATTGAAGTCATGAAAGATAAAGAACGGTTGAAGAATACTACAGAGACATCAAAAGTAAATGTGACACATGATCCTGGATTGGATCCAGAAACAGAAGGGAAAAGAAATTTTTTTTCCGTACGTACCAGAACAATAGGTGAAATTTGAATGGGGCAGGTGGACTCCGTGGTGGTACCATATGTCAGCTTCCTTCATCTGAGGGCTGACCTGTAGTTATGTAGGTAATGTCCTTGTCTTCTAGTAAATACACACTGGCATTTCTAGTGGGACTGAGGCATCATGTCTGCAACTTTTAATTGTTTTGGGAAAATAGATAGATGTGGGTGTTACTGAACCTGGACTGGATTGCCCGAAGGAAGAACCAAGCGGCACCCGGAGATCTTGGAGGATCGGAGGCTTATTTAACACCGGTGGGCTCAGAGGAGAATGGTCTCCAAAGGTCTGAGCCCCGAGCACAAACAAAGGGGGCAATGTATACACTTCTATTTCTGCATACTTGGCACTTTTGGCGTGTGTGCGAAGCACGGCAGGGAGAAGAACCCAGAAGAGCCCCGGGGCAGGGGCTGGGACTCTCTTGCTGGCTTGGTTGGCCATCTTAGGACACAGATTTTGCTTATCTTCCCCCACTTTGATGCCCCTTTAAACACCTAGATTAGAGGGCATCATTTTCATCTTCTACGGGACGATAATAAGGAGTAACTGGAGTCTGATTTTAGCAGTTTGAGTAGTGATAAACCCAGTAAGGGCTGGAGTGATTCCCACCGGCAATGTACTCATTCCTGTAATTGGGTCAGAGTTTCTTGGACCACCTCCGACTCATTAGCAAGGAAAAAACATTCCTGCTGTAGGAAGAGGCAGAGCCCCCCTTGCGTGGCCGTGAGCAAGTTGAGCCCGCATCTGTTTTGGAGGACCACTGAAGCCAGTGAATCAAGTTGGTGCTGCAGGGCCAGGGCCAACTGAGTGAGGGCAGAAAAATCCTCTGTGAGTTGTTGAGTTAGCCCCTGGTACTGAACCTGAGACATCCCAACGCCAGTGGTGCTGAGGACAACACCTGATGCAGCCGGCAGGCTCATGATAAGAGGGATGGCCGCAGAGGAGCATCGAGGGCGGCTAGGAAGTCTCCGTATAAGTGGGGCATCGCTCCTGGGGAGGATTGAAAGATTGGGTAAGAGACTGACAAGCATGCATGACTGATTGCGCGGGGTGATGCAGATGTATACACCTTGATCACAAGCCAGAAAAGTGTTGTTAGGCTCACAGACCCGACTGTGACCCATGACAGGAGAGGAAGAGTTTCCATACAGCAGTACCAGAGCCAGAAAGGGATAATCTGAGGTCCCCAGTGCCGAGGTGGGAGGTGACATGGTAGATTGGTTGAGGATGACACCTAGGTATTGGATGGGACTGGGCTTTATACAGATCCAGCAGTCAGACGCTAGGGGTGGTTTGAGTGGTTAAGTGCTTGGTGGGAGGCATTAATCACACCTAACAGTTGCGCTATAGATGTTTGCTGCATGTGGGTGGGGGACCCGGGGATGTGCCAGGGCGAGTTATTTTCTGTCTGACTCTGGGGGTTGACTGTAAGGCTTGGAGTGAACATGGACTTAATCATAAATTTGGCTATGGGGTCGGTTCCCATAGGGTGATATTGGCCCAACAGGAGAACGATTCCTGTAGCCCATGATGTGGCATTGGGTTCTAAGACTGACATACATGTGATTGTTAGAGCAAGAGGATGGGGTGGCGTTACGTGGCGTTGTGAGACAAGAAAATCTGGATGTCACTGTGCTGTTTGAGGTGCCACCACCTGGTGGACCATCATTCCATTCCCGGCCAAGTTGCCACCCATGACTCACATCCCCCAGCTTGTGAGCAGAACTGAGGGCAGGTGTTTGGCTGTTGAGGCGTAGGGCCCCCACAAATGGAGATATCTACCAGCTGGTAACCTGAGTGAGCACCGTCTGTGAGGTTCCCAGGGTGTATCAAGAAGCTGGCATCCGGGCGCCTGGGTGGCTCAGTTGGTTAAGCGACTGCCTTCGGCTCAGGTCATGATCCTGGAGTCCCTGGATCGAGTCCCGCATCGGGCTCCCTGCTCGGCAGGGAGTCTGCTTCTCCCTCTGACCCTCCTCCCTCTCATGCTGTCTCTCATTCTCTCTCTCGCAAATAAATAAAATCTTTAAAAAAAAAAAAAAGGCTGGCATCCATCAAAATGGAGGTTAACCTTTGGTGGGTGTCCATCCCAGGTGGAAGAAGTCAGTGGGGGTGCCGGTACGGGACTGAGGGGGATAAGCTGGAAAGTCCATTTGCCAGTAGCGGTGATATGAGAGTTTGCCCCCCTTGCCTGGCCGGACAAGCTAGAGGCAGTGCGGAGGAATAGCACACCAGGCAGCAAAAGACCGGGACTGACTGGGGCCAGGAAAACCACGGTGAAGTGTGCTCAGGAGTAGACAGCAGAGGGCCAGTAAAAGTGGGCTCTATGACCTTAGTTAGAGGGAGCCATTGTGGCTAACCCGACAGCAGATGAAACCTGTGGACAAGTAAGTGCAGTAATACACCCTAGGGTCACCCAATAAGCAATGACAATAGTGAGTCTCTGGGGGAAAGTCCAGTCAGGAGGGGCAACAGTGTAGAGTCCGAGTCACAAGATGAGGGAAATCATGCCAATGAGAGCCAGGGACCACAGTGAGCAGGTGTCCATCAGTCATTGGGGTCTCGTCGAAGGTGAAGCCGGAGCGGGTTTGCGAAGTCTGGCTGGACTCTCCACTGGCGTGGCTCCTCATCTGAATGATGAGCTTTCTTCACTCTGGAGTGGTGGACCCATGGGGTGACACCTGAGACCTTGAGGGCAGTAGGGGTGATTAGAACAACAGTGTGGGGCCCTGTCCACTGCGGTTGGAGGGGGTCTTTCTTCCAATCTTTGACCCAAACTGAGTCCCCTGTCTGGAAGGAATGTACCTGAGACCCTAAGGAGATTGGGGCCCTCTGAATGGTGTACTTTTGTAATTTATTTAGGGTGGCCCCCAGGGCCTGAAGCTGCTCCTTTATCCCTTTATCTCCAACCTGATGCAAGTTTCCTGGAAGGCTTCCCAAGCATGGGGGAGGCCATCCATATATTAATTCGAATGGGGAGAAACCTGATGTCCCGGGCATACATTGAGCATGCAGGAGAGGTAGGGGTAGCAGATCCGGCCATGGGAGGTTAGTTTCCTGACAAAACTTTGCTAAGGTTCCCTTGAGGTTGCCATTCATCTGCTCTACTTTCCCTGAGCTTTGGGGCCAGTAAGCTGTGTGGAGTCTCCAGGTGATATTGAGAGATTTGGTCAAGACCTGTACAATGTCTGCTACAGATGTGGGTCCATTGTCACTATGGATTGTTAATGGCAGGCCGAACTGGGGCACGATCTCCCGCAAGAGGACTTTAGCTACTTCCTGGCTTTGCTCTGTCCTGGTGGGGAAGGCTTCGACCCACCCAGCGTATGTGCATACTATTACTAGGAGATATCTGAATGCCCTGCTCGAAGGGGGTTGCTCCCATCCTCTGGACACCTGGCAGGGGCCGCGGTGCAGACCGAGCATTGTTTTTAGTGCATGTTGTGCATTGTTCACTCGTTGCTCGGCATAGTGCTGGCAGCTGACGGATGTAGTAGTGCTTCTTGAGAAGGGCCTCTAATGCAGTTTTTCCCAGATGAGTGAGTTGGTGGTGTTCCTTGACTAGATGCCCTCCAGTTGCTGTTGGAACAAAGATGCACCCATCTAGCATCATCCACCATCCCTTTTCAGTCAGGGTGGCTCCCTCAGCCATGGCCCATTCCTTTTCCTTTTCAGTGTAACTGGGCAGAGGGACTTCTTCCGGGGGTGTCAGGGCCATGGTGAGGAAAGGGGCTCTGTCCATGTCCTCCCTGGCTACGGTCTTGGCTGCCTCTTCTGCCAGATGATTTCCCCACGCTATGGGGTTGTCTCCTTTCTGGTGTCCCTTACAGTGCAGGATCACTACTTCCTTTGGGAGCCAGATGGCTTAGAGGAGTCTCAGGATCTCCTCCTTGTTCTTGATAGCTTTTCCTGCTGCGGTTAGGAGGCCCCTTTCCTTGTAGATGGCTCCGTGTATACGTACAGTAGCAAAGGCGTGCCGAGAGTCGGTGTAGATGTTGACTCGCTTGCCCTCGATGAGGGTGAGGGCTCGGACTAAGGCATATAGTTCAGCCCGTTGTGCTGACCAGCCAGCTGGTAATACCTTAGCTTCTAGGACTTCAGTGGTTGTGGTTACCGCATAACCCGCTTTCCAGGCACCCTCTTGTAGGTAACTGCTGCCATCGCTAACAGCATGAGCTCTGGATTCTTTATGGCTTGATCCCGCAGATCTGGACGACTCGAGTAGACTTCATCAATCACCTCGGAGCAGTATGGTCTGGTTCCCCCTCTTCTGTGGGGAGAAAGTTGCTGGATTTAATGTCCTTACTGTTTCGAGGGTGACCCACGGGTTTTTGCAGAGGAGACCTTGGTATTGTGCCAGCCAAGAGTTGGAAAGGAAGCGGTGTCCCTGTGCGTTCATGAGGGACACAACTGCATGAGGGACCTTGACATTAAGTTCTTGCCCCAGGGTAAGTTTGTCCGCCTCCTTGATGAGTAGGCCTGTGGCTGCCAGCGCCCTGAGGCACGGTGGCCATCCGGCTGCCACAGGGTCCAGCTTCTTTGACAGGTAAGCAACTGGCCATTGCCAGGGCCCAACAGTCTGGGTGAGTACCCTGAGCGTTATTTTTTCCTTTTCATGCACAAAGAGGTTGAAGGGTTTCTCTACATCTGGTAGGCCCAGGGCTGGAGACTGCCCAGGGCGGTCTTTATCTCTGTGAAGGCGGCTTCTGCTTCCTCAGTCCAGGCAGGGGATTCTCCCTCTGGTCCTACTAAGAGATCATAAAGAGGTCTTGCTATTGCCGAGAACCCAGGGATCCAGATGCGGCAGAATCCTGCAGCCCCCAGGAATTCTCATAGGCCCTTTTTTGTCTGGGGCTCTGGCAGGGAGATAATGACCCTTTTCCTCTCCAGCCTTAGTTCTCTTTTCCCTTGGGTGAGGAGGAAACCAGGGTATCAGACCTGTTGTTGGCAGATTTGTGCCTTCTTCCATGAGGCTCGTTATCCTGAGTCTGACAGGAGCTGTAGGAGGGCCTTTGTGCCTTTTGTGCAGTGTTGTGTGTCACTGGCAAGGAGGAGGTCATCCACATACTGGAGGAGGGTGCACTGTGTGCACTTCCTCTCTTGGGAAGCTGGCGAGGTCCGCAGCCAGCGCTCCCCAAAGAGGGTTGGTGAGTGTTTAAACCCCTGTGGGAGGCACATCCAAGTCAGTTGCATATGGCGCCCTGTATCAGGTTAGACCATTCAAAGACAAAAGTGGCTGGTTCTGGGGAGTTAAGCGGAAGCAGAAGAAGGCATCCTTCAAATCTAGACAAGTGAACCATCTGGCCGACCTGGGGATTTGGCCAAGGAGGATGTATGGATTCAGGACCACTGGGTGCAGAGAGATAGTCATCTTATTGATGGCCTGCAGGTCTTGAACTGGTCGGTATCCCCCTCCTGGCTTCTTGACTGCCAGGAGTGGGGTATTCCAGGCCGACTGGCACTCGACTAGAATACCTGCTTCTTTGAGTTTGGTCAGATGTTCTTGGATGCCAATCTTAGCTTCTTGTGGAAGCAGGTATTGCCTTTGCCTCTGAGGTTGGGCTCCTGGGATCAGTTCAACAATGATAGGGGCCCGATTCCGGGCTTGTCCAGGTGGGTTGTTTTCAGCCCATACTGAAGGGAAGGCGAGTCTGAACTCCAGCGGGCTGCTCGGTTGGGCCTGGGCACAGAATAGCCTCCATTCTTCTTCCCTTGGCATGGTAATTGCTAGTATTAGAGACCCCATCTCCTCTTGCCTTGGGTTCAATCGGAGGCTAGTGTGTCCAGTGGGCTTGGAGAGTATGTCTCAGCCCAGGAGAGGGATGGGGCAATCGGACAGATAAAGGAACTCATGTGGGACCTTGTGGCCCCTGAGTTTGCACTGGCAAGCCTGGCAAAAGGGCTTTTGTATTGCCTGTGTCCCAGTGGCCCTGAGGATGGTCGCAGTCCTTTTGCTGAAAGGTGCCACTGGGGAGGTGACAACAGAGTGCTTGGCCCCAATGTCAACCATAAAAGTCACTGGTTGGCCCCCCACATTCATTTTGACCATGGGCTCATGGGGGCCAAGGAGGAAAGAGCCCAGTCGCCCTCAGCCTATGAGGTCCTCCTCTCGGGGTTCTTCCTTGTAGTGGCTGGGCTTTTGAGCCTTTCCCCGGGGGGGACATTCATTTTTCCAATGCCCTTTCTCTTTACAGTAGGCACATTGATCCCTTGCCAAGGGGGTTCTGGGTTTCCCCCCTTTTGCTGGTTGGGGCCTCCCCATCTTTGTGTTGTCCTTTTCTTTCAGGGTGGCAGCAAGGACACTGACTTTCTTTTTCACCATCCCGTCTTCATCGTGTCTCTCAGGTTCCCGTGTCTCTCATCTCTCGTACCAGCATTTGGAGGGCACAGGCCGTAGCCCAGCTGCTGGTCCTGGAGAAGGTGGATTTTTTGGGTCTGGGGTGCCAGTGGATCCTCTGGGCCTGGAGGCACTAGTGAAACCAATGGCGGCAGAGTGTCTGGAGCTGAAGGGCCAGGTGTAGGCAGTCTTGGGGGTATGTACGGTGAGAGCAGGGTCGGTTCGTCCTCAGGATCTCTGGCTAGGATTTGTGGAGACAGGGGCTTTTGCTGATTTTCTTTAGGTCGCTTGGATGAGATGATTAAGACTCTGGCCTGTCCCTGTCTATTGCAAGCGAATAGCACCCGGGGGGGAAGGATCTGGGCAATTCCTAGCCAGGAGTCAATGTATAGAAACTGGGTCAGGGTGTCCTGGTTCTCCTGTTACGACTCACCATACCTGACGAATCGTTGGGACATCCAATGTCCCTTCTAAAGGCCACCCGACATCAAAGGTGGGCCATTCGAATTCACATAGGGTTCTCAACTTGCCGGGGTTCATCCTGACTCCATAGTCTCCCCAAAACCCCTTCTTGAAATTTCTGATCATGGTCTCTAGAACCGTAGGTTTACTCTGCCCTGACCCCATGGTGATGTCCCCATGTGTGGTGGTGCAGAGACAGACAAAGGGCGGGTGTCTCCTGAGATGATGAGACCAATCAGATGCCCGTCTGGCCGTGTCCTGAAGGAGCTTAGGTGATACTTAGCCGTAGTGGTCTCAGCATTGTGACTTAATGATCAGAATCTATTCCGATGCCGCTCTAGACTGTATGCCGTTCACCACGGAATCGCAGACGGGCCCACTCAACTCTGTAGGCTTCTGGGGACCTTAAAGGTGCTCGCCTGTGGAGTCACAGAATCAGTCTGCTTAAGCAAGCCAGGTCGGACTGCACATTCATTCGCACATTCATTCCAGAAGTTATTACATTCCCTCCCTGGGAATCCCTACCTGTGGGACCTCTAAGAGGTCTCTGGGAGGTGATCAGGCTCCCCTTCCACCTCAGTAGGGGTGGGCCTGTCTGGGTCCTGGGGCCTCAGGCCTTACCAGAATCCGACGTCGGGACCAGGTCCTCACCTGCCAAGTCTCCTCGAGTCCGGTGGGAACAGCAGAGTGGGGCAGGCCCGAGGCGACCGGGGCGGGAGACTGCCGAAAATTAGGCAGGGCGCACCTTCTCCATTACAATCCCTCGTTCCATCACCACCCCGCTGTTGCCCCCAAACTGGTGGCAACAATGGCCCAGCGCAATTGGGTTTCCCTGTCAGGTAACCAAATGTTACAGAACCTGGGCTGGATCGCCCGATGGAAGAACCAAGCGGCACCCAGAGATCTTGGAGGATGGGAGGCTTATTTAACGGCGGCAGGCTCAGAGGAGAGTGGTCTCCAAAGGACTGAGCCCTGAGCACAAACAAAGGGGGCAATTTTTACACTTTAATTTCCGCATATTTGGCAATTTTGGCGCGCGTGCAAAGCGGGGCAGGGAGAAGGACCCGGATTGGTGCGTGCGGGAAGCAGAGCAGGGAAAAGAACCTGGAAGAGCCCCAGGGCAAGGACTGGGACTCTCTCGCTGGCTCAGTTTGCTATCTTAGGACACAGATTTTCCTTATCATGGCGGGGGGTAGAAAGATGATAGATGATAGACGGATAGAAGATGGGTGAATAGATAGATGATAAATGGTAGATATAGAAAGAATGATAGATACATAGATGATAATAAAGCAAAAGTGGCAAAATGTTAGCACTTTGGAATCCTGGATAAAACGTATATGGCTTTGGGGTGCCTGGCTGCCTCAGTCAGTGGAGCCCCTGACTCTTGATCTTAGGGTTGTAAGTTCGAGCCCCATGTTGGGAGTAGAGATTACTCAAAAATAAAATCTTAAAAAAAGTATATGGCTTCCTATTATTCTTTCAACTTTTGAAATTATTTCAAAATAAAAAGCAAAAAAAAGAGAAATATTAAAGAGTATTGTAAAGCAAGAGTCATTAGGTTACTTACTATTACTCTTAAAGTGAGAATGTTCACAATCACCATAACACAAATGGCAAATATCTGTATCTATGTTATTCTATATAAGATATAGACAGCATCTATCTATCTCTTTCTATCTATCTTATATATGTAGATGTGTGTGATTGGCCTGGGATCCAGCAGACCTGCTGAATCAGAACACGGGGCTGTTTCTAGCATTTCCAGGGGGGATGATGGCTCACAGCCAGCATGGTGCATCCCCCTTTAAGCAAGTCTTGCCAGTTCTGGGAGGTCTTGCGTAGGTCTGGGAAGGAAGAAATTCGGCTTCCTGTCTTCTCTCGCATGCTGTTTCACTCACTAAGGTGTAAAACCCGAAAATGAATGACTCAGCAGAGCTTCCTAAACTATGTTCCTCAAAAGACTCACGTGTTCTATGAAAACAAAAACAAAACCCCATCTGGTCCTTGGATTGAAGGAGTCTATATCATGCTTCCTACCCTAGCTCCTTCCTGGACAGTTACTTATTTATTTTAAGTAGATTTTGTTTTGTTTTGTTTTTTTGTTTTAAGTATAGTTGACAAACTTCCAGGACATTTACAATATGCATTATAAATGTTTTATAAATGACTGCATTTTGTGTAACTTGATATTTTGCAGACATTTTTGGCCATGGAAGGCTTTCCCTCCCATTTAACACCGATCCCATGACATCCGGTGACACTTGTGTTTCTCCTGGTTTACTTCTTCCCCAAGGCTGTGTGAGCCATTCGGGAGGCTGAAGGGAACCACCTAAAGGTAGTTGGGCTTCAGGACATTTGTTGTTCTCACAGCTCTGCCTTTTAGCCTGTGTCCATTTTATCCACAGGGTGACTTACCTCATGCAACTCGTGCGATTTCAAGATCCCGTGAGTGGCAACTGGTCTCATGCTCCTCGCTTCACAGCCAGGCAAAGAACAGATTATAGTCGCCTGGCTCAGATGACCCTGGATCCATCACCAGATCTTGGGAAATCAGCCAGGGCTCACCCCTGTGGCTGGGAGGGTCCAACTCCTACCTGGGGGCCACATGAAGGAGAGGCGGACAGGATGGATGTTCGGTGGGGGGTATCAGAAGGTTCTCCACAAAGTGGAATTTCAACATCAGAGAGCTGAGGGCGTTGTGCCCCACTCAGGTAAACCTCTCCTTACCCCGAGCATCCCAGATGACCAGCAGCTTCTCAGGCAGCTCTATACCTTAGGTGAGGCTGTCCCAGGGGTGGGGAAGAAGGGGCACCCGTGTGTAGTCCCCTCCTCCGCAGGCTGCAGGGTGGAGGCCAGGGGCAGAGATAGGCCCACCCAGGTGCTGCTCCCTGAGCGAAGGATAAGCGTACCAGTGTATGGAGGTGCCTTGTGCATTTTTGTTGCCTTTATTTATTCCCATGCTTTCCCACAATTCGCCACCCAGATTTCCACAAGCCCTGGCCCCTAGGAGCACAACTTTTCAGGACACTCCTGAAAAGACTACTGAATGCAGATTGCTCTCCAGGTCCCCCTCTGCATGTTGAATTCCAAAGGTTATTTCCTTTAAGCCTTAATCTCAACCTTTTGCCTCATAATTTTGAAGCAAAATCCTTCTCGAGACAGGTTCTCACCAAGTGCTAAGAACTGAACAATGTGTCATTCTTACACTGGCTGGCAGTAATTTCCAGAGAGCCTGGGTGAATTCAAGTATCTGTGAGTAACTTAGTGTGGGTCAGCCAGGCCGCCGCTAAGAACGCTCCGACGTGAGGCTACCGCTGGAGCTTTAGTTGAGCGAGGGCACACAAGGATCAGAAATCAACACAGGTCAAGCTTCCCTGCTTTCCCTGTGACACAGTTAATGTCACAAGTACGGTGCTTTCACACGCCTCTGGCTGGCTTTGAACGTGCGCCATCCCTCATTCATCACCCAAAGATGAGAGACAGGAAAGTGCCCAGTGCCTGACCCACAACAGATGTTCAGGTAGGTGTTCTTTCTCCCCTTGCTTCTCCTGTCTCTTCCTTCCCCCAGAACACTGTCCCAGAAGAAGAGATCCAAGAACTCACTGAAAATTAATAAATTAATGTAACAAGTTACTCCTACAGGTCGCTCTCCTTTTGCCCCTCTGGAAATCATCAGCCCCTTATAATTAGGTCACTGCCTAATTCATTTGATAAATGACTATGTGGTAAGGGATGTCATGTCCCCCACACACATACACACACACATTTTTAATGTGAGATCCTCGACACCTCAATGCAAAATAGTGGTAAGAGCTGAGAATCCCAGGCTTTCTCCTCACCACCAAGTGCTTGCTCCTCTCTTAAATCATCCCTAGAGGTGAATTGCTTGGAGAGTTTTTAGGGTCATTTTATACAAGTGACCCTGCACAGCCTATAGTTTGTCAAATATCTGCCTCAGAGAAGACTCGGAGCCTTACAATTCTGAGAGTCTCTTGAGACTCAGAATTCTGCAAGGCCGCCTCCGATGTGTGAGACTCCTTCGGTCCCAGAATTCCTTCTGCGTTTACCAGTTCGGCAGAGGTAAACCACAGGATCAGAGTCTCAGGGTCAGATCCTCAATGTGCTGTTCTCTGTTCTAAGCTACAAATTCCCTGCCAAGGGGTAATCTAGCTTTCTCTGAAACACCTCCAGGAAGGAACTACTCTCTATTTCTCAAGGAAGTCCATTTTGCTTTCAGAGAGTACTAATTGTTTGAAAGTATTCCTTAGATCTGGTTAAAGCCTACCTTTCTGTCGTTTCCACCTCCTTCTACCTTCGGAAAGAATTTTTTAAATGCCCAGGGTTTCTCTCTAGCAGCTTATACCCAGAGCCTGCCATTCCGTATAAAGGAATCGTATGCTCGAGCAGGCGGGCCTGCCCTCTCCACCATGCCCAGCCGAGGGAAGCAACATACTTCCCGGTACCTGAATGGCCATGTTCTGTGTGGCGCCGCCATTCTGGTCTACCTATGGGCTGATCCTTGGCCTATGGGAAGCGCCTCACAAGTGTTTGTCTTGCTAGGGATGATGATGATTTAATTCATCAATGAAATTGTTTCTCTCAAGCATCTGGACTAGAAAAATGGGGAGAGGTCAGTCAGAAGGTAACATCGGCAAAGCAGAGACAAAACAAAAATCGCCAATTCCTGTTAGTGATGAAGCACCAGAATCAGAGTTCTGCTGTTGGGGGTATGGTACGACGGGTTACCTATAATTGTGATGGACTCTAACAATACAGTTCATATCCTGCACTAGATCTTAAGTACTAGGCTCAGGTAGGCCCGGCTAGACCGTAATTCCTCTCTTTCCCAACAAACTTGACTATGATTCTTCCTGGGTTGCCATATTGCCCGGCACTGTAATTGAGATTCTTGCCTTCTGTATTTTCACATAGAGTCTTCTAAAAATTTCTGCGTCACCTAAAATAAACCAAATGAATCTCTAAGCCTTGAACCCACAGAATTTAACTAAGAGTTCTCACATCTTCCAAGTCTTCTCTCCTCCAAGATAAAGATCTCTGAACATTTAAGCCATCATTATGGAATGGCTTCCAATCTCTTCCGCTTCTCAGCTTCTCTCCGCCCCATCTCCCCTCTCTGAATTTCTCAGTCCCTCCTCCTCACCTCCAACAGCCAGCATCACAAATGAAGCAGATCAAATGGCAGCCCATCCTAAGTGTGTCCTGTGTGTCTCCAGCATAAGCAAAATACTTGTATGAAATCAAATGTCCATCTTCTTTCCATTTTTGGAATGATCAGTGGAAAGATTTCCCTACTTTATCAGCCCCATGAAACCCAAGGATTGTTAGAACCAAACCTGTGAACTGAATTAAAATGGATGATTATCTGCATTCTCTTAAAGGGAATATGGTGTGGAGCCTTCTATTCATCTCCTGACTACCCCTTTTCGCTGGATGAGATTATCGAAAGTATTGGCTCTCATTTCAATTTACTTAGGTAGTACTGGGAAAAGAAGTTAAAAAAAAAAATCTGAACTCCAGATAATGTGTTTAAATTGATTATCTGAAAAAAAATATAAGTGTTCTTACGTGTATCCACTTTTTTGGCTGCAAGTAATAGAAAACCTAATAATTACATAAACTATAGGACATTCTTTACTGCAGTATCTAAAACTGGGTTCGGGGTCTGTCCCCCCCACCTTGTTCCCTGCCCAGTACTCAAGATTAGAATCTGTATTTCTTCCTCCAGAATTTTGCTTGACATTTTCACATAACTATGTTTAAGACTGCAAGTCCTGAAAATCTTGAGCCACCAGAAGACGTCCCCTGCCATCTCATTAGTCAGGAAAGAGACACTTGGGCCAGTCTGAGCTCTAAGGGAAGCAAGGAAGTGAGTTTCTGGCCAAGGGAAGAGGGGTTGTCATGACCAGGCAAGGCATCTGCTTCAACGCACTTAGAATGCTTAAAATGAGAGTTTTATTTTATTACGGAAATTAATACGTCATTATTAAAGGAAGTCTGGAAAACAGAAGAAAAAACATTTCCTAAGGCCCCCACCCAAAGTCTTCTCCCAATGCACGATGTACTACTGTTCTAATCGTATGGTACATAGAGAATGATTTGCCTTTCTTTGTTTTTTTTCTCATTTAACATACGATTATTTTAAAGCTTGATGGTTTTTGAAATACATTTACTGTCTTGAACGAAAATACCAAGTAGGCAGCAGAGAACAGTGGAGGCGGCGGGGGCGGGGGTGGGGGGTTAGGGGAGGGCCTGGCTCAGGAGCCAAGAGGGCTGGCCACGGCCTGGGTCCTGGCTCACATTCATCCTGCATTTCCGTTTCCTCAAGAGAAAGAGCTGTTTCCTCAGTTCTACCATTTCCGAGTCCACGGGATCATGAGAGCTGTGCCCTGAGACACACAAGCCACACTGTTCAGACACCGATTCAACGGAGCAGCGACCGGTCACAGAGACAAGCAGACAGGGGGGACTGGAAGGTGCTGCCCTGGGCACGGGACGTGCCGTACGTAATAACAGAACATAGAATACATGATAAATGACCATCACGGAGTACCAGATCTTCCCGTTTTTGAACAGAACCCAGAAACCTGGATTTTCATGTGAACTTGTTTCATTTTTAAATGTCGGTACTTAATTCGAAATACCGCAGAGGAGCAAAACAGGCCTGCCCGGAGCCGACTGGCCACTCCAGCAACAGCAGCGGCCAACCTGACCAACGCCAGATTCAAGGACATAGACAAGGGCGTTCTGGGGAGCTGCTTCTAAGACATTTTGGCTATACAGCGACTAGGTTATTGCCATAAGTCTAAGACATCAAATGCGTATTTTAATGGTGAATAAATATTAGGATTTTATCGCCTCTGGTTTCTCCCATCGGCAGGATAAGGACTTCCCATTGCTTCTTCCCAAATCCCCTGAGCTTACAGGTGCTCTCTTGAATATGTGCTGTGTTGGAAACAATGAGTCAGGACCCTCCTTGGCCACAACTCCTTTCATATTTATATCGTTCATGATCCTACCTGGTCCAAAATCCCCATCCTGCGTCTTTTTGCCTGACTCATGCGGTTTATGGAGAAACCGGAAAGGAAAATGATGAAAGTCTTAAACAGGTGTTCCCTGGGGTAAAAACTGCCACCTTAAACAGTTTGTTCTCTTCAATGCTGCTAATGCTGGGTCTTTAATCTCTCCTTTTCAGAGAAAGAATGATCAACATCAGGGTGACAGGGAGCCCCTGTGCTTAGCAGTTCTGACTCTCACTCGCTGAAAGCAGGGCAGAAAGAGGATTTAACGACTTTGAACTTTTTACGTGATTTTTGCCTTCGGCACAGTTGTTGTTAAATGAGTTCTAAAAAGGCAACAGTCCCCTACAAGGACATCAGGTTTCTAAATGATTCATCTTCTCACAGACCTTGATATTCAATCCAGGTGTAGGACTAAACGGTATAGCCCTCGGGGTCTATCCTTGGGGCTTGGAAAGGCTTCAGTGAAATTCTATCGCAAAGGGCCCAGGCGCTTCCCCTGACTTTCTCTTTGTTCTACTAACTTTTTATCTCTGAAAAGCAAAGGGATTTCCTTTGGGGATTAAGCAGAGGAAACAACCTAAGGTGGTGATTAGTGTTTCATTAGAATTATGAGATGCAAAGGTATCCTGGAGTTAACTGAGCAAGAAGCCCTTTACCCCAGTCTTGGGCCTCCTCCCTCTTACCCAGCTGAGAGCTCCACAGCCCCTGCCCATCTGAAACTGATCTTTCTCCAGGCCACAGGAAGATCCTGGGCAAACACAGAGGTGTCTCATCCCAAAGTAATGACGTGCTGCCTTTTTTTTCCCCTTTGTATCTTTCAAAAGGTTTTACAGGTATCCTTTTGTTAACACAAAATCATTTTGTAATAGATATTTAAAAATCAGTAAGTGCCATTCTCATCCTGCCAGGTCATGTTTTTGAGTCACTGAAAGGAACAGAGGTTATAGAACAAGGCAGATGATTAATTTTCTTAATGATACATTTGTACCAAGTATGTGACAAAAGAGAAATGCTCTTAAGAAATACCCTTCCTGCTCACAGAGGCCCATGTGCTGCTCTCCTAGCCACGCTTTTTATGCCAAACCAGGAGTCTGCAGAAGGATTGGAGTATGTCAAGAAAAGGATTTGTGTCAAAGCCTGACATACCCATCTCCTGTCAACACAAGGCTAGATAAAAAGTATACATACATTTCGACTCAAGAGCCACGAAAAGAATCTTGAAATAAGCAATTACATGAATCACATTCCTATTACATTTGTTTCTCCGATTTTTCCACTCCGCTTAGTGGCGGACGTTTACTTTAAAACAGTGAATGGTAACCCGAAGGACCAAATTCTAAGTCAGCCACATTTTTATTAATTACTTTTGAACTAAAACAAGTTTTCTTCTCCTTTTGGCTAATGATTAACTTTAAAATTTTCGAAGAGCAAACTATTTTCCATATTTTTTTATGTGAACTTTTGTTATATTTTCCTTTCACTTTATTACGGTTGCTTCTTACAATTTTAGGAAGATCCTTGGCTCATGCTTTCATTGTTTCAGTGGTATTCCATCTAATTTGACAGGTTGCATTTCTATTTGCACTACATTTTGGGGTTTCTTTACTGGCCCAAATATTATTGAGGAGTTTAAGTTTTCTTTTTCGTGTGTTCTGTGTGATTAAGCATTTTATTTGGTTATTTCTAATTTTATGATTTGCTCTCTGGATATATGGAATACAGTGTTGTAACTTCCTTTATATCATGTAGTCCAGAACATGGTCAAATTTTGTTTAAAAATACACTTGGACAAAAAAGAAAATCTGCTTATATTTCCATATAGTTCTTTGTACACATGTTAAGTCTGCCCTACTAGTTTTGTGCATTAATAAAATTCTATTTCTGAGCTGTTGATATTCCCAATTATTTATGTTTGCATTTCTGCCAATTTTTTCCTCTCATACACCTTTTCCTTTAAAAATTTAGAAATTTTAGATGAGTGAGCTATTTCTCCTACTGCTTTTGTTGTGAAATCTCCTTTATTAGGAGAAGAATCTCAAAGCAGAGGCTTTATTTTTTATTAGGAACATGTTTGATATTTGGGCCCAAAGAAAAGGCAACTTTTGTACTTTGCAAAGAAAAAAAGTAGTTGTGTACACCCTCTCTACCCCCACTAACCTCTGCCTCTTGGCAAGCCACTGACCTATTTTTCCAGGGAACCCAAGCTGCCATTGTGTTATCTGACCGAGAGTCACAGCTGGGGCTTATGGAGGACAACCTGGCAATTACGCTGTGTTTCTAGATTCAACGTACATTCATAAATCCTCTGGGGCATGAAGTCTAAAACCTCGTGACTTGCTAAGGCAAAAACATTGTACGAGCCATAGTGGAATATGAAGCATACAATGTATTGAAGATACAATTCCACTTAAATACCTATTATAGACCCATCCTTACTTATTACTGAATTTACTCATGAGTTGAACATGATTATTTGTCAGTAACCTCCAAGTATTTAAATCATGACTTTCTCTCAGCAGCCAAATATTTCTACCCGGGGCTAGAGGGCTTATCTTTCAATCCTCTTAGATGCGCAGAACTGATCTTGGGAACAACAGACCAAGTTTGCTCCTCATGTGAATGAAATGTTCAGTGAGGCTCTGGACTGCTTTGTCTTTAAAGAAAAGGTAGAAAGCAAATCCTGCTTGTTCTCCAAATGTCAAAGGGCACGAAGAGTATGAACTCCCGGGAAGTCTTTGCCTCACTGGCACTTCCTTGGTTCGCATTCCAGGCCCTTCTCCCACTTCTCATTTCTGCTCTGCCTCTACTTAGGGTAATTATGGCATTTGTATGCTCAGGCTGAATTCCTCTGAAGTTGCTCAGAGGCTAGCTTTTGGCCTGAACCTTGAGGTTTTATGTGTATGGAAGGCTAATTTCTTTTACATATTTATTCCTTTAGTTGTACTTTCAATAATAAAAACATTAATTTTGGATGAAATATCATGCTTTCATTCATTAGCACTTAATACCTGTATCTTTCCCACAGTTACAGTTGAAATCGTATTATTTGGAAATGCAGTCCAGGGAAACAAAATGAGTAATAAATAGCAATAATATCTACCATTTATTGAGCACTTAATTCTGTGACAGCAATTGTGCTAATCAATTCGCAAACATAATTCAATTATTATTTTTTTACCTTTTATAGGTAAAGAAAACTAAGCTTTGTGAGTACCTTTCCTAAAGGTCACACTGCTAGAGAAAAGCAAAGCCAGAACGTACACCTGGGTCTTTCTGGCTTCAAAGACTGTGCATGTGGGGTGCCTGGGTGGCTCAGCCAGTTAAGCACCTGCCTTTGGCTCAGGTCATGATTTTAGGGTCCTGGGATCGAGCCCTGTGTCAAGCTCCCTACTCAGCAGGCAGTCTGCTTCTCCCTCTCCTCTGACACCCTGCCTCTCTACCCCTGCTCATGTTCTCTCTCTAATACACAAAATCTTTTTTTTAAAAAGGCATATCTTTAAAAAAAAAAAAAAAAAAAGGCTGTGCATGTAACTATTGAGCTATACAACAAATAGCAAGTCAGAGCAATGCCCACTCAGCCCCAAATATCAAGCATCTAAATTTTTACGTATGCTATGTCTTCCAGTCCACTCAGCCTAGTTTTAACTGCTTTTAGCTGGAAGTGGATTGAAAAACAAGTTTTTAAAACACTCGAATAAATGAAAATTCTCATTTACTCAGCAAGTATCTGCTGAGTTCCTATGAATGAGGCAATGTGCTTGGTGGGGAAATCTAAAGATACCAGCGTTTGCTTTTTGAGAAGGAGAGCCGCAGCGGCAGGGGCAGAATTGCAATTGTATTGCTGTCTGTGTTGGACCAGAGACTTGCAGGGAACGAATGGAAGTGAATGATTTCATCCCGGGTGGTCAGGGAGGGCACCTTTGAAAAGGCAACCTGTAGGGCGCCTGGCTGGCTCAGTCTGTGGAGCGTGTGACTCTTGATCATGGGGTCATGGGGTCGAGCCCCATGTTGGGTATGGAGATTGCTTAGGAATACATTTTTTTTTAAAGATTTTATTATTTCTTTGAAAGAGAGAGCGAGCGAGCACACAACCGGGGGGAAGCGGCAGAGGGAGAGGGAGAAGCAGGCTCCCCACTGAGCAGGGAGCCAGATGTGGGATCCCAGGACCCTGGGATCATGACCTGAGCCGAAGGCAGATGTTTAACCGACTGAGCCACCCAGACGCCCCAAGAGTAGACTCTTGTAAAAAAAAAAAAAAAAAAAAGCTGTCTTTGAAAAGGCAACCTGTGAGCAGGGCTGGAATGTTAGGAGGGCTGGGGACAGAGAGTTCCAGTCGGAGGGAATGGCAAGTACAAAAAGCCCTCAGGCGGGAGCTATTTTGCTTCTTCAAAGGAAGGCAAAGAGGCTACTAAGGCCTACGGCCAAAGGGCAATGAGTGAGAGCAACCCAAGGCAGGGGGGAGAGGTCCACCAGGAGGGGGTAGGGGTCCCATTACTACTGTCAAGGTTTGAGCTTTTAGGCTGATGAGTGCGATGGGAGGCCCTGGAAGGGTTGGAGAAGAGCCACCCGTGTAAACTCGCTTTTCAGTGAGCACTCTGGCCTACTATGCCAGGCCAGCAGGCGGGCCAGCAGGGAGGCCAATGTGGTCAGGAAGGGACGATGGCAGCTCGGGCCCGGGCAGGTGACCAAGGTAGTGGAAGTGATCGCGTGTTTCATCCGCTCTGACAAAATCCGCTGGAGGAATGGAATGTGAGGTGTGAGAGAAAGGAGGCGAGCCTAACTCTGAGGTCATCAGCCTGAGCACCTGCCGGGAGACGCAGGAGGGGAGCTGGCGGGTGGCACCGGAGCGGGGAGCTCGGTTTCGGACATATTCAGAGAGGCCTACTAGTCTTCCAGAGTGGAGATGTAGATGAGGCAGTTGAATATGCAGGTTAGGACAGATGAGAGGCTGGAAAGCAGAGGAAGACCAAAGAGAATCCACGAAAGCTTAAAAAAAGAGGGGGGAGGGGTTATAAAATGACCCTCTTGAAAAAGTTTCAAGGCATTTTAATTTCTATCACCACTGTTTTTAGATCCCTTATAAAGGTTTGTGAGGCCTATAAAAACGTGGCAACACCATGTTGTAAGAAGTGGCTATAGCTCCGTCATGGGTTTCTAGAGTGTGGGCCGTAGGCCGGCAAGCATCTACAGCACCTGCGAGCTTCTTAAGAGATGCAGATGATGGGCCCCACCCGACCCGGTGATCCTACAAACCGGGTAAGGCCCAGGAAACTTGGACAAATGCCCCAGGAGATTGTTATGCACAATGAAAGGTGACTGAGCTGCATAGGAAGTTTAGTATTTCAAGGTTTTAACCACTTAAAAAGAAAGGAACAACTTTTTTAAAGGTAAAATGTTTTTATTGTTTGAAGCTTAAGAGATGGTAAACAAAAATCAGTATGACATTTCATATCTTAGTCTTTTGAATGAGGTTATAAAAATACAATGCCACTTAGTCTTTACAAAACTTTTGAAAATGTCTACAAGTTCACACTTAGTATAATATAAAAAGGCACTTAAAACACACAATGAGGTGATTTTTAAAAAAAACCACCTTATAGATATGATTGAAATTGCTTGGGAAAAATTTATAAACACAGACTCCTACATAAATAGGACTTGACTTTTTCTTCTTTTTCAAAACATAGATAGCATTTTCCCCATGTTACCTACAGACAGCGTAAATACAGACTGCCCTCACCCACCTCTTGATTTAGGTTAACAGAAAAGCAAGCAAAAATTAATTTGTTTTTCTTCAATTTAATCTCATTTTTTTTTAGATAAAACAAAATTCTAATTTGTAACCAAATCACCCTGAGCATTTTTTGGAATGCCAGGCTCATTTTTATTTCGTTTTAAATCACATTCGTTAAAAAAAAAATAGGAAGACAATGATGTGAATATTATACATACTTATTACTCAGCCACCCAAATCACCCTAAGCGACAACTTTTCTGAAGCATGTGGACATACATGTGTGTGTGTATTTGTAAATGTCACTGTTGCGTCATTCAAGCATCAGAGCATACTGAAACCCCACTGGCGCCATCTTTGTACCCTGGGGTCATAGGTCTGGACACAACCCAAATCCTTCCGTGCGCCCATCAACGAGAGCAAAGACGTGCGCTTCATGCGTTTCTAGTTCTTCATTTTCTTTCAGGCTGGGCAAAGGATAAGCCATGTTCACCATAAATGAAGTAAAAACCCACTGCCCTGTGTCATGTATATAAGTGTATTCTTGCTGTGGAAATTCTGTGCTTTGGGAATTTTATAAGATCATCATTTCAGGACATTGTTAAGAAAGAATAAAAAAAATTTTTTTTTTTTTTGAGCTGACAGAAACAGGAGTCAGACCACTAATTCATTCTCCGCATACAGGATGCAGTTTTAGAGGTAACTGCATTACTTCACCCCAAGGGTGTTGTTCACGAAGGAAACACATCCATTGCTTTAAGGAATCACCTGAGTGTGATCAGTTGAAATGATTTAACAATGAAATTCGATGTGGTTACTCTCCTGGCAGGATTTGGACTATAAACGAAAACCGGCATTTACAATAATATGGGGGAAAATACAGAGCCACTTGAATACTTACCACTTTATTACTGCAATCATAAATGGTAATGATTTGAATTAGTCCTTGACATTGATTTGTGTGTTTAAATTAGTCATTATGCCTTTTCTGCCTTTTGTTCTGTTGTTCACCCTTTGAAGACATGCCATGATAGTGAGTACATGAGTGTGTTGTGTGAAGCATCTTGTACTACCCTCCTGAGCACATGTACACGTGGCCATTTATCAAGCCTCTGCTCATATTTTTCTATTTAACTTTTCTGCTGGATAACATTGAAAAGCCTTTGCTGATTTTCAAGGCAGTCTTTCAGCTTATCCTCTGTCAAGGTCAGTCTCTGCTCCAAGATTGAAACAGTCTGCAAAAGGAGGACAAAATAATCAATACCTAGTGACCTGGCGGTGAGGACAATGACGGTCATCTCTGCAACGGAGATCCTTTCAGGAACTGGAATGTCCACCCCTTTGCTGGGAAGGGGCTCCTAAATCAGCCCCAGAGTGTGTTCTGCTTCTGGGCCCTTCCACTGGCAAAAAGCATTATGAAGCAATTTGAGGAAAAGATAAAAACTGATGCCTTTGGTGAGAAAAGAGTAAAAGATGAGGCCTCTGTAGACCATTCTTGTCTGGCCTCCTGAAGCACCAAAGTCAGGGCGGAGGCCACAGGTGGCCTGTGTGCAGTCCCGCAGGCTACATGGCGGTGTGAGGGGGAAAGGACGGGGGGGCAGGGCACCGCAAGCCCAGCCCAGGGCCTACTTCTATGTCACCACTCGTCACTCTGTCATGACCAATCCATGATGGATCCTAACTATACCAGCTGGATCCTTCGTTTACTTTAAATTGTTAGAATAACCAGCATCAGTTCTCACACCTTGAAAATGACCGCGTCTCCCAGGGTTGTTAGGAAGACCGAATGAAGTAAGGCACATAAAATGCTTACACGGGTGCCTGGTACATAGGACTTGATGAATCTTAGCTCTTTTAACTCCTGTGGCTAATAAATGAGCAAATGACCTCCCCCCCACCCCCCCCCCACACACAAATGGCTACTTCTACATTTGGCAAATCTAATTTGATATTGACTACTTCATCTTCAATCTTTTAGATTTCTTTTAAACTTTTTATTATAAAATAAAATGGATTCAGGAAGCTACACAAAAAAAAACGTGTCCCTGAATGAATCCTCATGAGAAAAACACCCTGATAACGAGCACCCAGGTCCAGAACTCTTACTTTGCCAGCCACCCCAGCGTTCTTTCCATGGGCCTCTCAGAATCCCCACTCCTGCCCTCCCCCCGACAACAGCCACTCTCCTGACCATTATAGTCATTGCTTTCTTACATTCTTTATGGTTTTATCGTTCAGGTGTACATTCCTAGACACTGTAATTTTGTCTTACCCATTTTCAAAGTTTGAGATGCCATTTAAAGTTCCTTTGAATCTACAGCTTCTCATCCTCACCCCCCACTTTTTTTTTTTTTTTTTAAACAATTTGTCTGTTGACAGATTCTGGCCATTTAGAATAGAGTTTATCTGCAGAGCTTCCACCATTCTGAATTTTAAGGATAGTGTGCTAAGGGTGCAGGTCAGTCTGTTCTGTTCTCTATATTTTCTATAAATTGGCAGCTGGATTCAAAGGCTGGATTAGATTCAGATTAGATCTGCAAGACTATGGATCTAATAAGACCTATAGTTAAGACTATAGGTAGTGGTCTATTTCATTAGAAGGCATGTTAATAAGGTTTGATCATTTCTTTTCTCATAATGTTGGACCTGCTCAATGCCTAGATCTATTCATTCTTGAGCATTGTAAATGATATTCTAATTCCATCATTTAAAAAAACTATTAGCTGGGATAATTTATAAATAAGAAACACTTTCCTCATCTACTACTTGGTTATCCAGTGGTAGAGTTCATATAGGAAAGGCAGGATAAATGCTTGATTATTTTAGTCAACAAGTTTTAAGATAATGAACTGATTCCCTATCATCCTCCAAAAGTAAACATTTTAAAAATAACATTATTTAATAGTTTTTGCTTTCATATTCCATACTATAGATTATGGCTAATTAAAAGTGATGCTGATAGGGGTGACTGGGTGGCTCAGTCATTAAGCGTCTGCCTTCAGCTTGGGTCGTGATCCCAGGGCTCCCTGCTCAGTGGGAAGCCTGCTTCTACCTCTCCCACTCCCCCTGCTTGTGTTCCCTCTCTTGCTGTGTCTCGCTCTGTCAAATGAATAAAATCTTTAAAAAAATGATGCTGATAAAATTTTCTACCATTTCTTGAGTACCTATATGGGCCAAGCATTTTGCTATATACTTTACATATATTACCACAATTCCACATGCTAAAGCTGTTGATATGTATATTAGCAACACCTTTAACACTGGTTAATTCCATTTATCAGTGCAGATGAGATATAAACACTGTGAGTGAGTTAGGAGATGCTCAGTCATCTGTAATTAAAGTGAATCAGAACATGTTTATTTTACTTGCTACTTGCCCACAGATTCACTGTTTCTATTTTGCAAGTGTGTTGTGCTTGCTTTAACCTCCTTAACTATAAAAGAAAGCCAGCCTTTCAAAATTAAAAATCATAGAGACATTCAGTAAATCTTAAATGATTCATTTAACCTTGAATCAGGTAAGAAGGAAAGATGGGTCATGAGGCTGAAAGAATAGAGAATGGAAAGATTCCCTTGGGAGAGGCTCTAAGAAGGACCTGACATTGAATATGACAGTGTAGGTGAAGAAGTTGTGGCAATATGGGAAATAAGCCAACCAAAACTAAATCTGGCATGAGGCCGAAAGGGAAGCTGCCTTTAAAGGGAAGAAGTGTATGATAAATACAGAGAAGGTCACCTCCAGTACAATACTGCAAAGTGAAAGTTAGTGATTTTAATAGGATTTTCATTGAACAAATCTTGTGATGACTCCAAGTACTCACACGGCTCTTTCCCACAATCTGTCAGGACCCCAAATCCACATATATGGCTCTTGCTTCAAAAGGCCCTGAGATGTGATCTACAGGTTTTTAGTATTCATTTAATTAGTGGCTCTAAACCCTAGCTGTGAAACAGAATCGTATGGGGTACTTAAAAAGACAGATGTCAGGGCCTTACCCCAGCCCAGTCGCAATGGATTGTCTGGAGATGAGAACTGGCCGTCTGCATATGTATGCTTTATAACTGCCCAGGTGACTACAATGTACAGCCAGTGTTGAGAACAGAATGAGATGATTTCTATGCAAGAGCTATTTCAACTTGAAATATGTATTCTGGAAAAGTAATTGCCATCTCTCTAGCTCACATGATAGCCTCTCTTTCTGTATAACTTGTAGCAAGGTCTGCTCTGACAAATATTGGCAACCTCATTCTACAGATCAGAGCAACAATAAGACTTCTTCAGAGGAAACACTGAATCAGCAGGGCTGGAGGAGAAACCTTTGATGTATCCATTTCAACACACCACCTCCTTTTTTTTTTTTTTTTTTTAAAGATTTTATTTATTTATTTGACAGAGAGAGAGAGACAGCTAGTAGGGAACACAAGCAGGGGGAGTGGGAGAGAGAGAAGCAGACTCCTGGCTGAGCAGAGAGCCTGATGCGGGACTAGATCCCAGGACCCTGGGATCATGACCTGAGCTGAAGGCAGACGCTTAACGACTGAGCCACCCAGGCGCCCCAACACACCACCTCCTTTAAATGACACCTCTGTCTTCTGACCAAGAGTTGGAAGACCTTTGGTACATAAAGATCCACAGTATACCTTCTTTGCAAAGGTAAAAAGGCATCAAAGGACGAGGTAATATTCTAAAACAGGTATGCAAAACCCATCCCCTCCAGAAGCACACAGCATCAACGTAATTAGCTTTGGAATGAGGAAAGTTATATCTTGGACAATGAGAAGTTCTTCACAGTGAAGAACTATAAACATTGTCAAAATTTCATTCTAACCAGAAATTGTTAATCATTTCTCTCATGGCCCCAAATATTTCTTTGATAATGTCCTAATCTGAACACAATACATCAAAAATCTTCAGGTAAAACCTTACTGAGCAGAATCATATACATTTATAGCATGGGGCACCACGCTATTCTTCCCGGTCTCCACTGTTCCTTCTGGCCTCCAGATGACAGACAGAGCACAAGGGCAGCTGTGCGTGTGTGTGCGTGCGTGCGTGTGTGTAAATGCACACATGCATGTGTACACGTGGGCTCTGATCTTACCTCTAAAAGATCTTACTATAGCAGCTCAGCAGAGCATGCCTTGCTATATTGCTTGCCACCTTGAGCTAGCCTTTCTTTTCTTTTTTTTTTTTTTGTTTTGAGCTAGGCTTTCTAGGAAATTTCCCCACGGCTTTGCTAGGTCTGCAACCTGCTGTAACCAGCATTGTTTTGTATAACCTAAGTACAAAGCATGCTAGCCCACCTGGGTCAGAACATTGAGTTGTTCCATAATATGCTCTAAAGCGTCAGTCACAGCGAGTGGTATGCTTCTTTGGCTCTCAGAAGGGAGGTCACTCATGTCTTCTGTCCTCGTTTTCAAGGATGTTGGTGAACATTCCGATGGCAATAAAGAAGGGTTCAAGAAATATCCGCTGATCTCTTCGCTCTTGTCTGCTAAGCTTCTAACAGTGGTGGTATTTGTCTTTGACATCACAGAAAAGAGGAAGAGTTACCTTTTCCAAATCTCAACATGATATACATGTAAGTTTTTAATATTCTCCCTCTAAATACCCAGCTTATGTTTAATTGTTTATCCTCAACTACAGTTTATAAAAATTACAACTGCAGGGAGAAAATAAAGCTAACAACGAATAGATCAAATTCACAATTTTCCTGGATTTTTTACATGAAATACACTTTGTATGTATCTGTCTGCTAGATGAGGTGTTCTACCACTAAAAGGACTGTTTAGATGCAGTCTAATTCTTAAGCAAAAAACAAACACCACATCAAGATGACTATTATTTTTTTAAAAAATGGAAAACAACAAGAGTGGGTGAGGACGTGGAGGAACTGGAGCCCTGATGCGCTGCTGGGGGGCTACCAAATGGTGCAGCTGCTATAGCAAACTCCACAAGAAGTTAAACCCAGAATAAACCATATGACATAGCAATTCCACTCCTAGGTAGATGTCCAAACGAATTTAGAGCAGAGACTTGAACAGATACTTGTACACCGTTGTTCGCAGCAGCTTTACTCACAATAGTCAAAAGGTGGAAACAACACAAATACCTACCAACAGATAACCGTGGAAACAAAATGTGGTACGTAGATACAGTAGAGGACTTAGCAGGAACTTGGATACTTTTGAATATGTTAACCACCTGTATACAGATTTTATTACTGTTCTCACAGATAGAAACCAAACGCTCCAGATAACCAAGACAGTCTTTTTCACACGGGTCACGACATACCTCCGTATGTACATGCAAATATCACTAGTGATGCTGTAGAATGGTTCCGGCCATCCATGGGAAAAGGCCTCAAGCTAATTAAACAACCATCTTTGAACTCCAGGGCTTTGCAGTCAGGGTAGTTAGTGAAGAAAGGGTAACAGGAAATGGACAAAGGAAAGATTTAAGACCCTTAGTCTAAGCCATAAAAGATCTCAATACAGCCTTAATAATGGTCTTCTTGTTTGGGACCAGCAACAAACAAATGACTATCATATGACATGTGGAGGTGAATGAAAAACAGCCCAGGGTATGGGCAGAGAGAGGGGAAAAGTACGAGGTCTCCATCCCACATCCCACAACATTAGCCAACTGACGTTGGCTCTTCCTGTTTCTCAGAAGTATTGGAATCTAGAAATTAGCAGATTCTTTCCCACCAACCAACTCTGAGTTTGCATCCTGCTTGTATAGGAAAAGGGAGAGCTGCATGGCTTGGGGAAGCTTCAACGCACTCATTTATGAAATTTAAAAAAAAGTTGAGAAGGGAAAAAATACGTTTAAGATTCTGGGCTATCGGAAGTCCAGCAAGTGAGGCTGCCATCCACACCGCTCCCAGTGCACCCGGGCCCTCTCCTACCTCCAAGCTGCTACTGCTCTCCCTGGTAAATGCCTACCAAACACCAACAACACACCAAGCATCTACCGATGTTAAATATGAGCATGGGGCAAGGCCTGCTCTCGAAGATTCTGCAGTGGCCAGAGAATTAAGACAGAGCAAGGCCCAGAACCGCCGCGGTGCTCGGCTCGTCACTGGCAGTGCAGAACGCAAGAGAACCAGGAGCACACCCAGGACTGTAAGACTGCAAAACAGCGATGCTTTGGTGCTCCATAAAAGGAAGCAATCACACCACGTTCCCTTAGCTCCTACTTGACTTGCCGACACTTGAAGTACAGTGAGGTAAGAATAATTCATTCATTCACTGATTTAGCAAACGAAGGCCTCCTATGCTGGGCATGAAAGCTACAGCAAAGAGCAAGAGGAAGTGGTAACTTCCTTTGTGGAGCTTATAGTTCTCTGAGAAACCACTTCATCCAGAAGGATGGTAGGGCAATCGCCACCCCTAAGTTTTCCTTGGCTAGGCCCCTGGTTGGCCATCTCAAAGATGGGAAATGCAGCCTCACCAAGGGCATGAATAAATCTGAGTGGCTGAGAAACCCTATGTCTACAGCTACAGGTTAAAAGGCTTGACTCTCCCTTTGAACATACAAAATAAAATAAGAGATAAAGAGTTGACTGATGCCAACAACTTTGATAGTCCTGAGAGCTAGATATAAAACCTCTGACATTCTGGGGACAATGGACTCTTTTTTTTTTTTTAAGATTTTTTTTTTAAATTTTTTTGACAGAGAGAGAGACAAAGAGAACACAAGCAGGGGGAGAGGCAGAGGGAGAAGCAGGCTTCCCACTGAGCAGGGAGCCTGATGTGGGACTCAATCCCAGGATCGTGGGATCATGACCTGAGCTGAAGGCAGACGCTTAACCGACTGAGCCACCCAGGCGCACCAGGACAACTGACTCTTAACAGATTGTTTAGATGCCATGGAAAAATTAATGCGTAATTTTTCATTTGTCACTTACATTAGAGAATGAATTTCTTCGATTTTTTAAAAGATTTTACCTATTCATTTGACAGAGAGAGAGAGAGAGAGCGAGCATGCATGAGCAGGGGCAGAGGGAGAGGGAGAAGCAGACTCCCCGCTGAGGAGGGAGCCTGACACGGGGCTCAATCCCAGGACCCCGAGATCACAACCTGAGCAAAGGCAGACGCTCAACTGACTGAGCCACCCAGGTGCCCTGAGAATGAATTTTTTAAATACATTAATAGAAAGTGAAAATCGTGGCATTTGCAAGCAAATTTTTATCAGGAAATTAACCATTCAACAATGCAATCAAGGTCCACACATTTAAACTATTACTATTTATATAATTAACAATGGAACATTCAAGATACTGTGCTGCTCTATTACCCATAGAAGTTCATGCATTATCTTTATTCCCTTCCTTCCTCTCCCCTTCTTTCCTGCTCCTCCTCCCCTCCCACCCACTCCCTGTCTGGGCCAGCAAGCCAGAACTAATCACCGGTGCCCCTCTGTGCTCGTCAGCCATCATGCTTGCCAACAGTAGAGCACTGTCATTTCCTGTTATATTTGTGTTTACATGTCTATATTCCCAACTAGTTTGTGAGAGAGTCTCCTGAGGGCAGGAGCCATCACTTTACCATCTTTTTTCCTCAGGCGTCCAGCACAGTGCATGAGACACTGATAGGGCTCACCAGTTATTGAGCTGAGTTCACGGATTCTAATTCACTGAATTCACTGTCCTGTATCAGTTGAGCCATCAACAAAATGGAAATATTAATAATTTGACAGTATTTGGAGACAAGTTAAAGCCCAAAGTTAAGCCAATACCATTCTCTACTAAAAATTACTGTCTGAAGTCCCTCCTATGAGAGAGCAATGGAAGCATTTACCACATAACTGCAAATCTGCAGATCACTTCTTGATTTTTATTCACCATTCCCCCTCCAGCATATTTGATGGTTTCTGATGGCCGAGCATAAAGACTTTCTGCAATAGTAGGCATTTCACATGTAAAGATAATCAAAGACTTGGACTTCAGATGTATCTTTAATAAATGGGTTAAAATAAGTCAGTTTTGGCTTATAACTAATGTTTTTAGTCTTGGTTTAATTCTGTAAGTAGAGAACAAAACAGGCAAAAGTCAGAAAAATCTATCCAAAAGTGGTTTTGACCCCTCCAGCTAAAGTGAGTTTCCCATCACTGAAAATTCTAAAATAGACATGGGATGGTCACTTGTTGGGGATATTATGAAAAATATACAAACATCAGGTCAGGAAATTCAACTGAATGCCCTTCAAAGTCCTTTCCATTCCGGATATTCTGAGATTTTCAAATCACTACACACACACACACACACACACACTTATGAAATGCCTCCTTGAAATAGACTAGGATAACAAAGAATATCTTTTGCCTGGATAAAAATAAAGGTAAATATTTTTCAAATAAAGAATGGATTATTTATTTTCAATAACATTTAGAATATGAATTTGAAACTTCAATAATCTCTATATGGAATCTAAAATAATGAAGACATAACACTCATTCAAACGACTTCTTTTAGTTTAGCACCTACATGTCAGAAAAATTCCAAACATCAGAGATACAGAACTGTATTCGTTTCCTACTGCTGCCATAACAAATTACAAGTTTAGTTGCTTAAAACAACACACACTTATGAACTTAAAGCTCGGGAGGTCAGAAGTCCAAGACAGGTTTTACAGAGCTAAAACCACAGCCAGCAGAGCTGTGTTCCTCCTGGAGATTCTCAGGGAGAGTGTGTTCCTTGCCTTTTCCAGCTTCTAGAAGCCCCCGCCTTCCTTGGCTCATGACCCCATCACTTTAATCTCTGCTTCCATTGTCATACGCCTTCTCTAATTCCCGGGGCCTGCCTCCTTCCCTTACAGGGACCCTAGTGATTCTACTGCATCCACCCCGATAATCCAGGATAATCTCCCCAACACAAGATCCTTAACTTTATCACATTTGCAAAGTCCCTTTTGCCATGCAAGAAAACATGTTCACACATTCTGGGAATGGGGACATGGACATCTTTAAAGGACCATTAGGCTGCCTACTACAAGGAATGAATAAATAAGAGAGATCCTGTGGACACGGCGTTATACTCAAGTGGGTGAAACAGGAAAATAAATATACAGATATGTGATGTAATGTCAGGTAATGACGAGTTATGAAGAAAAATAAAGCTGGGTAACATGTTATATTATGATATAGCTTCGTTGATGATGTATTTTTTTTTTAAATGGGGAAGGTAGAAAATAAATTTTAAGCACGTTAAGTTTGAGATACCCATTAGACTTCCAAAGGGAAATGTCATGAATGCCATTGGAAGTATATGACTCTAGACTTCTGTAGAGAAGTTGTGGAGAGTTATCTGAATATATATATATATATATATATATATATATATATATATATATATATATATTCACCAGTTTTTATAAAGGATACAAATGAACAGCCAGATGAAGAGATACATAGAACAAGGTCTGGAAAAGTCCCAAATACAGGAACTTCTGTTGCCTTGCAGTTGGGGAGCTTGGCATGTAAATATTACAGCCATGGGCCTATGATCACTTGGGGGGAG